TTTTAAAATTAATATTCGTTTTACTATAATTATCCTTCAAATGAAAATTATTTTCTGTTTTATAAAATAACTTATTTTGCACTACTGTACTTTTGTTATCTACAATATCAGTTTCGTTATTATTTAATTGAAATTTATTAAGGTCTACTAAAATATTGCTTAATAATATAATAGCTTCAATACTATCATATAGACATATTAAATTAAAATCTTAAATTTTTTATAACACGCAATATTTTCTCAAAAAAAAAAAAAAATTATATTTTAATTCCAAGTCTCAATCCCTATGTTTCACAGAAATATTTCTCTATATCTCTAAAAAAAATTGTACCAAAAAATAAACCTTAGCTTACATTTGTATTTTAAGCAACCAATTTGAACCTTGTTCTTATATATATTTATCTGCTATAAAATATTAATAAACGCGTTTCAACTACTTAAAAAAAAATTTTAAGAGGTTGAAATAAATATTTCCCAATATAAAAAGAAAATTTTTTATTTTTTTTAAAAAAATAAAAATCACGACTTTCAATGGCCACAAAACCGTATTTTTCTTATATATATATAAGGAGCAATATTTATACTACAACTACGTCTAAAAATAATTAACACAGAGAGGTATAAACCAAACAGAGTCGTATATTATTGATAATTTTGTACGTAAAAGTGTCCAAAGCTTCGGCGCCTCCACCAAATATGTAACGTGGCTGGGGAACCTAGTTACTATATTAGTTATCCAGGGAAGGTTTTCTGGTCCTTATGGATAAATTTTCCGTAGCTGGGGGGTTAGAACACGGTATGTGGGATCTTATCAATAAATAAAACACGTTTGGTTTATAAATCTCTGTTCAAAATATATTTTTGGTTTGTACTTAACAAAATGTAGATGGTGGTAAACAATCCCGGTGTTGGTGAGTTCATGTTTTTTGGTGAGTTCGTGTTTATTGCTGGTCAGTCTCGAACTGCTCTTTCGATAAACGGTGCGTATTGGCCACAGGCCTCACAATCATTAACAATGTTTATCTCAGCATAAATATCCCACTATTGCCTACTACGGAATTGACACATACATAGGTGTCATGTAACAATAATATATATTATTGTTACAGTATGATTGGATGATTTATTCACCTAAACATAAAGGGGTTTTTTGTAAATTTTGTGTTTTGTTCAAAGCTAATGTACACAGAGGTAAACAAGGTTCTTTTATTATTACACCATTCACAAAATTTTATCAGATAATTTAAGAGTCAAAAAAACATGAAAAAACACAGTGGCATAATGATTCAAAAGTTACAGCAAAATTGTTTTTAGACAGTATGAATTCAAAAAAAATAAATGTTATTGAGCAAATTAATGCT